CTCTCTCATCTTTTTAAGTGGGAGAACTTGCACAATTGGTGGCTGACTAAATACTTTTTTGCCCCACTGTATGGTGGCTAGTGTATAGCAATTTGTCAAGGATTTGTTGCAGAGATGAAAGAAGATCCTTGGGTCTCAGTATCAAAGCCTTCTAGAACTATCTCTGTAGCCATACTTTGTTCTTGGTCAAATTCCAAGTCAGCTCAGACCATGATGCATTTCTGGACTTGGAATGATTGGAGTCTACATCTGTGAGAGACTCCAAGGAAATGAAGTTTAGAATGCTGATTGTTTTTTAAATATGTACTGATTTATAGGACTTCTCCAAGGACAAATCTTTTATCTGAGGTGGTACAATCAAGGAGCAATTTTTCCATCTCTATGGGTTGGGCAAGGATTTGTAGCTTTGTTCCCCATATGTAATGATAGCTCGAGCCATTCATTACAACCTGCTGTACATAGTTGGGTTCCAAGTTTTTGCTTTGAGCTGTTTAGCAAACCAGTTAACACCCACGAGTTCTGGCTCGATTGCCACATTGTCTATTTTAACTATATCTGGCCAGTCCACTGTGTAAGCATACTATTAAATCCTGTGTTTGCACCCCCCCCCATTTTTCTTTCCAGAACGATGGATGTTTTTGTCAGTTTGAACCGAGGGCAGTCACTCATCTCCAGCTCTTTAACCATTACTGCAACAGAATGTGTAAGTACACAGCCAGTAAGAGACAGAAAGAGGTATAATTATATCTGGGAGGCTATATTTTTTAAACAAAGCTAGGTAATCCATATCTGGCTATGTAATTTTAAAACAGACAATACTCATGAGCTGTATCTGAAGCCAGGCATGCTTGCTTTCATCTACATTTTTAAAAATGGCAGAGATTACTACTATCTTAGAGTTGTTACTCTGGCATGCTCCCCTCTTACATCTTAGATGGGCATTCTTTGAGTTGATAGCAAAGGCTGCTGCATTTAACATATTTGGGGGGGGGGGATGAAGGCCCCATTGAGTGATTCAGAGTTGACCAAGCTAGATCATGTGTCTGGATGGAGTCAGAAGTGTCTTCTTATTTCTTGGTGGAAGGGTTGGGGGGAATCTTTGTTTTTGTTGTTAATCCGATACTTGTTTTGTTCTAAAATGTAATTGTAGGGCTTACGCTATACTTTCCATGACTTTCCTACCTCAAAATGACAAGAAAGCATGCCACCCGTTATTGGCAATTTGCATTCGGAGGGGACATAGAGGATTTCAAAAAAAGAGATTGGGGTGGCAAGGTGGCTCAGATTTCCACTCCTATCTTAGATGGAGAAGAAATCTTCCTTAAAGGATATCTCTCCAGAAATACCTACCTTATTTATAGTGAGCCAACCCCAACTCAGTGCCCTTTCATAGGTGTCTGTCACCACAATGATGCCAAAATGATGAAGCCTGTCATGACCTCATGACACAACATCTACCCTTTCATATTTGCTTTGTGCTGTTGCTAGCAAGGAGATAAGGGGAGGAGTTTGTGTGTGAACTCACAATGTACATTTCATTACTTGGCCCCCCACTTGCCCTCCTGCATATGCCTGTATGCCCCCATGCTGTGTTGGGTGCCAATTCCTACAACCCCCAGCCCAAACGCTGGTTGAGAATCCTGGGAGTTGTAATTCCGTCTGTTATTTATTTATTTTTTTTGCATTTATTTATTTTTATTAAGAATTTTGATTACAACAGTAAAAACTAATACAAACTAAATTTAAAGAAAAATAGTAAGAAAGAATAAAAATAGTAAAGAATAAAAAGACAAAAGACAAAACAGAAAAGAAAGAATATGATAAAGAAAAAGAAAAGAAATATATAAAGAAGTGACTTCCAACCTTCATTACAACAAGTATAGACAAATGGAGTAACTCTTCACCCCCTATAAGATTACAGACAGATATCTCTTCATCCCATATCCCATCCCTTATATATAAGCAAATCTATAAAACATAAACTTTTCAATCCTGCTATCAGCAAAAAGTCTGTAAAGGGTTGCCAGGACTTTGCAAAATGAAAAAGTCTTATTTTAACCTTGATCAAATAAACCAACTTTACAATCCTTCCTTTTACTTGTAACAATCTTAATCTTTAATTCATTCAAATATTGTTGTAAGATTTGATTTTTCTTCAATTCTTCTTTATCCCATTGCACTGATTTCCTCAAGGGTTTAACAAGCCTCTTTTGTAGATCCAATAAGAAAAACATTTTCCAGGTCATTTTCTTGGTTTGTCACTTATATTTCCCCTTTAATTTTTAAAACTTCAGCCAGTTTCTTTTGTGTATCCAATAAAGTGTCCTTTTCCAAATCATTCTCTTGGCCTGAGAATTTTCAGTTCCACTTTTGTACTTTTGTCTTGTCAGACAAAATTTGCTCCACATCTGTCATTCCTTCATTGACATCTTTTGGACATAATCTATCCATAGAGTCAGACATAATTACTGACACTGTTGATATTGTAGCTACTAATTTCTGGCTCCATTCTTCAAATCTGTCCTTTAATATTTCCAATGTTATGATGTTTTGTGTCATTTTGTAAATCCGAGTTAATCAACCCCCAAAACAGGTTTGTATTTTTTTCCCCCTTCTACTTAGAATATTTAGTTCCCTTTAGTGTCCAGTTTCTAAAATCATAAAATTGCTTATCTTTGTTATGAACCAAGATAGCCAAAATAAATCTGGTTCCCATGAGAAACAACTTATTTTTTATAGTTAATTCCATCTTATAGTAAAAGTCAATATTCCAAATTTAACTGGACCCTTAATCCATTTGTAACTTTCTTAGATCAAAATCTTATTTAGTTTTTTTGGTGTTTATTTCAAATGCTTGAAGTTCTTAAGCTTGTAATTAATTTTTCTTTTGTTCAGGGTTGAAGCTACAGTAAACTCACCCGGTGACTTTTCAGACCTGTCATTCTGAAGGTCTCTAATAACTTTAAGCGGGTTAATAGGTAATTTCCAAAAGTGATTAGACAGTGAGGCTTGCGACTTTAAAAGGCTCTACTGCGGTTGTGAGCAAGATGGCTAGTCCCCTTTTCTCCTGGCACTCAAACCCATGGAAGACTGCTATCCTGCAGTCTGCTTGTGAGGAGCAGTGTCCGGAGCACATGTGGGTGATCTCCCATCCTCTCCTTACCCGAAGAGGTTCCAAAGAACTGGTCTACTCACTGGGTTCTTGGTCTTTGCCACAGTCCTCAGCTCTGCTTTCGCAGAGATGTCTTCAGTTTGCCATGCCTCCACCGGAAGTCCTCCATAATTCAGTCTATCCAGAGGGCATCACCTCAGCATAACCTGCTATAGCCTCTTCTCTTTGGAGTATAATATCACAGTCTTGCCGGGGATCAGTGTAAACACCGCGTTTTGGTGCTCCGTGAGCATTGCAAAAATAACTAGTCCACAGTCTGTTTGTAGAAAACTGTACACAGACTTTTACTGTACAATCTATACAAAACTTACAATACACCAACGTACCAACCACAACTCCAACTACCAGCCACACCATAACTCATGGTGCACCTTACTGTATACTGTGATTTGTGTTGGGTCATGTAGCCACACCCTTCAGGTGTGAGCTCTGAGCAAGTTGAGTTGATTGCATGCACAGCTTAGCTGTGCTCTGTCATTGCCATATTTACACTGATAAATTTCTCCTCCAGGGTAACACCCTGACAAGTCTTACTCTGATACCGTTTTCTGATTATTTTTTTTTAAATCCACTAAAGTTCATCCTCTTGAACCAGCAATGTTCAAGCGATGCCTTCTATTTCTGTTCAGCCATGCAGCCAACCGGGAGTAGCCATCTCTTCATCTAATATCCCTGCAAGGCAATTGGGATGAAAACAGAGTCTCTTCATGTCTGCTTTCTGAAATCTCTAGAGAAAGGCAGAGTCAACTTAAAAACAGTTAGGGATATGGTCTCTGGTCCCAGGAAGGGACTCCCCCTCTTTGGCACATGCTGCTGTTATTTACATATAAGGCTTATTTCCTTGTAACACACTCAGCCGCTCATAAAAGGCTCCTAAACCCACTTCCCTTGAGAGGCTCTGTTGAGATGCATCTGCAGCCTCTTTAAAGAACAAACAACCCTCTTTCCTTCACCTCTGGAAAAAGGCCCCAGGAGATTTATGGCAAGCAAGTTTAGATCATAATGATCACCTTCTGAAATAAGGACGGTTCTTTCTCTCTGATTGGAAATTAAACACACGTACATACATAAAAACCTCTTGGCTTTGCCTATGTTGCAGCAATAGATCCATCCTGACAAAATGCAGAGGGAGTTCCTTTTATGGAGTTTGTTTTACTTTTTTACGGTATTTATCAGGGCTGGGTCAATGCATGCTTTTGCCAGAAAAATATTATGATCAACCTGTGGACAACCGGTAAAAATAACAAAATGTCTAGTTTTCTTAAGCAGCTGGAATTTAACATCTATACGTGTGTGTATGTAGCAATACAGGGTAAACT